CAAGAACCAAAGTATCTCAAGGATGCCTTCAGGGAGGCATGCTCTGTACCTGGGGACTGAGGTCACTTGCACGCAGTCTCCCTGATACCCAGAAATTGCTGGAGAGTGATTTGCTTCTCCCTTTAAATGTATTATTGTTTTGTTTCTAGAATTGTTTCTAAGTGTGGTGACGTTTCGAAGCTTTTATTATAGAGAATGTCAATTTGACCTCTTGGAAGCTATTCACACAGTTTTTTTGACCTGTGATGTATGGCTGGATTTTTGTGGTTTGAGTGGGCTTTTATTAAATGTTCAAAAGTAATGGCATTCATGCAACCCTATAGCAGTATGGCTTCAAGGAGACTGTAATCCTTGCTCCAGACACACATCCCTCAGTTGCTGATGTCACTATCACATGTGTGCCCATTCTGTTTCCAGTGGCAATGACTTCCAAGTTCTAATACTTTATTAGCTTAGATTGTATAGAAGAAAATAGTTGTACTCTTTTGCAGAGAGAAAACTCCAATAAAAGAGCCAAAATTAAAAGGCAAAATCTCCCATTCTTAGTGTTCAGCTCCTCCCTGCCTGAAGCCTGACACAGTGTTTGTGATGTCTTATACAAGCAATTAGGACCTTACTGGAAAGCCCCTGGTGCCTTACCCCAAATTGTCAGATTCAGAAAAAGAAGCCCATGTTGTTATAAAACATAAGATCTGTCCTCTTAACTATTCAAATAAGAGGTCACACAAATAGCCCAAAGGACAAGGCCAGATACTCTCTCTCTCTATTTTGGGGGAGGTTTCGAGACAGGGTTTCTCTGTATTGTTTTGGAGCCTATCCTGGAACTAGCTCTGTAGACTAGGCTGGCCTCGAACTCACAGAGATCTGCCTGCCTCTGCCTCCCGAGTGCTGGGATTAAAGGCGTGTGCCACCACGGCCCGGCTCAGATACTATCTCTTAATAGCTTAATCCCAGCACTCAGGAGGCAGAGGCAGGCAGATCTCTGTGAGTTCGAGGCCAGGCTGGACCAACAGCCTCCAAACAATACAGAGAAACCCTGTCTCGTAAATACCAAAAAAAATAGACCCCATTCACTGTCATGCAAGGTACTCTCTCTCAGAATTCACCTACTATGTGTCTGCCTAAAGTGCCTATTATTCATTCAAACTTACATCTCAATCTGGTCAGGCAAATAGTTTACTCTGATCCTTGGGTTCCTTTGTCTCAACATGACAACTTAATAGCTGGCATGTCCTCAGATCTTATATAAGGATTTTCTACCTTGTCTTTGAGATCCTGCCTGATGTCTGTTAGCAGAACTGTAATAACTCCTCCTCAGGCAGATCACATCTACTGGTAACCAGCCTTAGTTTGTGGTGTTGAAACATGTATCCCTCCAAATCCATATTGAACCTTCAGTACTGAAGCAATGATAATATTGAGAGTTGGGGACTTTGGAGATACCAACCCAGGAGGTTCATTACCATGACAGAATGTGTGGATTGTAGGGTGAGCCCACAATACTGTCCACGCCCTTGTTGGGGACTTTGGAGATACCAACCCAGGAGGTTCATTACCATGACAGAATGTGTGGATTGTAGGGTGAGCCCACAATACTGTCCACGCCCTTTTGGGCGTGGACAGGTGAGATATTTAAGGGAAGTAAAAGGAAAACCTTTCTCTCTTGGAAGCCAGCCACATTCCCAGAGCTTCTATCCTTGTTCATCTTGTAAGTATATTGAATAAAATAGTAGACCTCTTTTTCAGATAGTGTTATTGCCATCTTCAGTGGAGGACAGGTGGTGGTGGCTCATACCTTTAATCCCAGCACTTGGGAGGCAGAGGCAGGCGGATCTCTGTGAATTCCAGTTCAGTCTAGTCTACAAAGTGAGTTCCAGGATAGCCAGGGCTACACAGAGAAACCCTGTCTCAAAAAAAAGAAAGAAAAACAAAACAAACAAACAAAAAGGCCTGAAAGAGTTTAGTTCTTTCCAGGACCATGTGAGAACTGCCATGTTAGAACAAGAAAGCAGCCCTCATACATCCCGAAATACACTTCATGCACCCCCAAATATCCGATTCTTACCTTACCAACTTCCAGAGGCACAAGAAATCCATTTCTGTTGTTTATACACCCTGGTCTAAGGCAGTTTGTTGCAGAACAGAGTGAGACTGTGACATGAGGGTTCGCCTTCTCCCACACCTATGGGAGGAATGTTTTTGTTGCCCGTAGGGTTCTAGGCTGATTTTCTTTCTTGACCACCTTGAAGATGTCTTCTAGGATTCTAGGTTTCAGATGAGAAATCTGAGAGTCTCTTGAGGGAAGCTGTGATCAAACTCTTCCTCTCAGTCCCACAGACTTTAGTAACTTGTCCTGACATGTCTTGGGAAACAGAACATGTTATCATAGCACAAGTAAAGGGCTACTGTACTTTCTACACCAATCCAACTTTAAAGAGAGGAATGAATACTCTGAATGTAGGTATGTTGAGCTCTGTAACAGTCAAATGTTACCACAACATTTTTCTTCCCACTTGCAAAGGTCATTGGAACATCCTCTGGGTTCATTTTCTTACTGGTAGATATCAGAGTTTATACCCAGTAAAGCATAGAGCTTTGGGGCCTATATTATCATTGTTGCCATTTCTGTTATTACTATTAAAGTGGAGCAGGTCCTTGCTATGGTTTGAATGTGACTTGTCCCCTGTAGACTTGTGTTTGAACTTGTGGTTTCCAGCAGGTGATACTATCTTGGGAAGTCGGTGTCTACCTTTAGGAGGTGGGCCTGGTTCCAGGAAGTAGTTTGTTGGCCTGAGTTAGAGTTAGAGTGGCTACCAGTGCAGTGTAAGCAGCCACATGCTAACTAACACCAACCACTTCTGTTACCATGCTTTCCCTGTTCCCTCAACGTGTGAGCCAAAATGAACCCTTTCTGATGTTGCTTCCTGTTGGGCACTTGGTAGCAATGACTGCAGAGTAGCTAATACAGTCCTTTTGGACAGGAGTTGCCCATCCCTCATTGGTCCATGTCTTGCTCTGACCTCACAAGGTGCCACTGTGAGGAATGACTGACACCTGTGCATATAACGCACTGCCTGGGGCTAGGTTTCGTCCTTCTAGCACAGAGAGCTGTTTGGTGGTGATCTGTGGGACTTGGATGTTGGGGAAAATTTTGGACCTGGATATTGATGAAGTTTTGGACTCGGGATGCAGGTGAAGTTTTGGACTTGGATGATGGCAACCTGTTGTACTTGACAGAGTAAGTCTTTCACTTTGCTGGTTGTGTTTTGGGAGTATGGGTTTTAGTTTTTCATTTTATTTTTTTTTGTAATTTATGTTTCTGGTTTTAGATTTTAATTTTTACATATTTTAAAATTTCTTGTTAATCATCCTCCATTTTTCTGGTTTAACAAATTTTCTTTATCTTTTTTTACTTTTAAAAGTTTGTTAATAAATATTAAGAATAAAATAAAAAATTCACTGACATTTTTGTATATGTACATAATATACTTTGCTAATATTCACTTACTCTAATACACTTCCTCCCCTCCTCTTTCTTCTTCACATGTCTAATCTTTCCATTTTACTATCAGGTTCCCTCCTTACCTGTGATTCAGGATTTGATAGCAAATGTTTTTGTGGGACTGGCTTGTTATATACAACACCATGATTTCCAGTTCCATGCATTTTTTTTCTCCCTGAAAAATGTCAATTTCACTCTTTCCAGTCGAGGCTGTGATTCTGTCCCTGCTGTTTCTGTACAACATTGCTAATCAGTTAGCATAGGTGGCTTAAAGCCCTTGCATGACTAGATAAACACATCTTGACCACGAAGTATGTTTCCTCTTAGTGCTGTTGAATTTTGTGTGAAGTATTAAGTACTCTTACTAAGGATTGTTGCGCCTGTGTTCACCAAGGATGTTGATTATGCCTTTCTCTAGTTACTGTAGCCCCCAGATTATGGTACTTGAGTATTTTAGGTTCATAGGATGAGTGCAAAAGCATCCTCCCCCATTTTATTTCATGGAATGGTCTAAGAAGCATTGGTATCAGTTCTTCTTTAAAGATCTGATAGAAATCACCAATGAATTTGTCTGGTCCATTTTAAATTACTATTTCAATTTTGTTGCCTTTTTTCTGTTTTAAATTAGTTCTTTGAGAATTTCATATAACATATTTCTGTCATATTTATTCCTTACACCAACCCCTCCCAGATCCTCCATACTCCCTTTCCTACCACCCATATATGTGTCTTTTTGTTTTGGCCATCGAGTACAGTTTCTTTTGTCCTTATGCTCTTGGATATATGCCCTTCCACTGGAGAGTGGTCTGTCCAGCTTACTAGCAGTCACACCCTTAAAACGTGTTCTTTCTTCTGGAAACTATCAAGTGTCAATAGCTCACCAAGAGTTTGACTTCTTGTTCTGCATCCCCTCTTCACACTGAGATTTTTGTCTGGAGTGAACTTAAGCAGGTCATAATGCTGTGGGTGCAGACAGGCAACTGCCCTGCTTTGTCCAGAAAACAGTTTGTGTTGTCACCCACTGCTTCTGAGTTTTGGTAGCTAGTGTGTATCTAGAAGTTTATCTATTCTAGATTTTCCTAACTCACTGGAACACTTTAAAAACATTCCCTAGTGATTGTCTGGATGTCTGGATTTCAGTTGTATTCCTGATACTACCTTATTTTGTTCCTAATATTATTAACTTGTGTCTTAAATTTTTCTAATAGTATTCTGGCTAAGATTTCATGTATTATATTTATCCTTAAAATAATAAAGTCTTTGTTACATTGGTCTTTGTATTGTTTTTGTTTTCATTTCATCAATTTCTGCTCTGAACTTGAATCTTCCGTTTCTTTTGGGTTTGGCTTGTTCTTATTTTTCTATGACCTTGACATGCACCATTCGGTTATTTAGGACATCTATGTTTTGGGGTTTTTTATCTGCAGGAATTTATAGCTACAAATGTTTTGCCTAGACCTGCTTTTAATTAATTTTTATCTTGTATCACTAGTTGGTGTTTATACTAAGTATTTTTATCAACAAAGATGAAGAGGTGGGAAGAAGCTCAAGACAAAAAGTCCAAACCCTTTGATGAAGAGGCGCTAACAGAACATTATAAAATCCTAACAACTCTTGGCCAAGGAGGATTTGGGGAAGTAAAATTGGCTAGCCATCTACTCACGCAGACAAGAGTAGCAGTAAAAATTCTTCCAAAAGGCAAAAAGAACACCTTCATCAAATCAGAAATTGAAATAATGAAAGCTCTAGATCACCCTAATATTATTAAACTTCTGCATATAATCGACACAACGAATAATACTTACATGGTCATGGAACATGCCACAGGGGGAGAGCTAATGGGTAGGATTATGGAGTTTGGCTGTCTACCGGAGGAGGAGTCCCGTAGGCTGTTTAAACAGATGGTATGTGCCATCCAGTATTGTCACAGGAAAGGGATTGCCCACAGGGATCTGAAGCCTGAAAATATTTTAGTAGATGACAAAGGAAATATAAAGCTTAGTGACTTCGGGCTGGGTGCCAAGCTTATTATGGGACAGAAGCTAGCAGCTTTCTGCGGGACCCTTCCTTATTGTGCCCCGGAACTCTTTGAAGGTAAAGGCTACGATGGCCTTGCAATTGACATCTGGAGCTTGGGAGTTGTACTTTACTTCATGTCGACAGGGTGCCTCCCTTTCCAGGGACATAGCTATGAAGGACTAAAGCAGAAGATCTTGGCAGGAAAGTACTCGGTTAAATTCAGTCTGTCTCCAGAGCTTTGGGACATGATTGCTAAATTGTTGACTATAAACCCTGGACAAAGACCAAGAATAGGTGACATTTTGAGCTTTCAATGGCTGAAGCATGGCAATGAAGGTTCTCTCCGTTCCTTTAGAGAGAAGGCCAACAGCCACCCAGACCCCACGGTGATGGTCATCATGGGTGTGATGGGATACAAGCAACGAGAGGTAAAGGAAGCTTTACGGGAGAAAAAGTTTGATCAGGTGATGGCTACCTATTTGATTCTGAGAGGACAGTCACCCTGGGGGGACAACTTTATAAAAAAACTGAAGCCCAGGCAGTCAGGTCGAACCCTGAACTCTACAGGGCCTCCCACAATGCCAAAAGTTACTACTATAAAGAGGGGATCTAGTGTCCCTACCCTTCCTACCTTCATTTTGCCCACTCTACCTGAGAGCCCTGAGAATGATGACAAGTGTGGAATGAGATACAGCATGCCTACCACCGTGAACTACCCGAACAAGAAGACAGGCCCTGTTCACATAATCTGTCCCCAGCAGCTCCAGGAGGCTCACTTCATGAGCAGCACATGGGGGGACACAGAGAGCAATTACACCTCAGATGAAATATTGCCTTCAGAGTATATGCCACTGGAATCTTATTCATCCCTGGACTTATCCAAAGCTGGCTCTAACAATCCAAAGTACAAGGCGTCCTCGCTGGATATTTTATCTCATCACGCCTCTGTGGCGGAAGCCCAGTGTAAGGGCACCAACATACCAAGTGAAAATATCAGCTCATCTCTCCCACAAAGCCCACCTCAGGAGGCCCTCAGGGGACGGTCCCACAATGTGACTACAGCTGGTTCAAAGAACAACATGACCTCACAGGATGGTTTAGCTCCAGTTCCCAGCAAGGAAGCCCAGGATTATGGTCCCTCTGTACAAGAAAAAGACCTCAGTCCATCCTCCCCAGAAACACCCCAGGGACACCTCAGTGGCCAGTGCAAGATTGCACCTAGAGCCCCCTTTAAAAAGCGAGTTTGGAAGAGCCTACAGAACAGGAGTATAAAAAGCCTGCGAAGTTTATGTTGCTGCCTGTCAACCGAAAATAGGGAGCGCCTAGCCAACAATAAAATCCTGGCTGTGAGCTAAAAGGGCCATGGAGGCAGCCTTGGTAACAGGTAGGTGGAGAGGCTACAAGGCATTTCTATATCTAGGTCTTTTTTAAAACAATGTCCTTTTCTTTAAAGAAAAATATTTATTTACTATATGTGTGTGGGAATTAACTTGCAGGAGTCAATTCTGTCTTTATACCATGTGGGTCCTTGGAAATGGATTAAGGTCCCCAGGCTTGGAGTCAAGTGCCTTTACTCACTAAGCCATTTCCTGGACTAAATGATATGCTTCTAAATAAACAGATTATAAACATACCCATTTTTAAGGGTTAGTGATAATATATTATCACACCAGGGTATCCTTCCTAAGAAACTTGACCTACATGTAGACAGACAGCAGAGGACAGTAGCTTGAGGCTGGGCAAGCATGTGGGAGGAGGGTTGGTGAAGAGAGCAATGGGGCAGGCACTCAGGAGGAATCAGATTGAGGGCCCATTCCAGCACAGGGCCAGAACAGACAAGCAGAAGTCCTGTGTATTTCTACTAAGAGGCCCCTTTCTTGTGTCTATTTCAAGTGCTGTTGGAGGCACTGTGTTCCCTGGAGGCTGACACCAGAGAGTGGGGAGCAGTGTGCTGAGGATGCAGGGGGGTGCAGGAGAGAGCCAGGTAGGAAGTTGAGATGGCTGTGTGTCATCGGGAAGCTGTGTCCTTATCACAGGCTGAAACTAGGGGCAAAGCATTCCTGTGTCTGCACATGAAGACTGGGGAGGAGGGGACATGTTACCCCCTTTTCAGATCACCTGGGACTGTGGTGACATTGTTTATGATTTAACAAAGCTTGCTTGGGGATCAGAAAAGCAAAGCTAGCCAGAGCCATAGAAACTGGGCAGTGGTGATACACACCTTTAATTCCAGGACTCAGGAGACAGAGGCAGATGGATCTCTGTGAGTTCAAGGCCATCCAGGGCTACATGAGAGTAAATCATTCCAAAGAAACAATAGAGCTCATGCCTTTAATCCCAGCACTAGAGAGGTATATAAGATAGGAGCAGGGCATTCAGTAGTCAGTCTCAGGGTAATTAGTCTCCAGCCACTGTGAGATCAGGATCTCTGCAGTCTTGGTAGAAGTTAAGAGTTCTCTGGTGGCTTGGCTGCTTTGCTTTTCTGCTCTTCAGCTTGAGGACCGAGAAAGGCTTCTGGGAGGCAGGTCTGAGCTCATGATCCGTCTCACTCTCCCCTCTAGGTAGGTGGTGCTACAGTTGTGCTAGCAAACTGAAGCACTCTGTGGGACTCAAAAATGCTGTAAACAGGGATCCACAGAGTGCTGGTGACGATTAGGAAAACAGGTCTCAGGGGGGGTCTTCCATGCACAGTGAGATCGCCAGCCCAGTTACCTGTCTCCAGGTATGCCTGTGAGCCATTGGAAGAGACAGCAGCACTAGGAGCAGAGGAGGACCCCAGAGAGCCTGACCAGTATGAATGGGTTCAAGATGAGTATTGCTGACCAGGCGGGAGCCAGAAACAGAGGAATGAGATTGCAGGGAGTGTCCATCTTGTGATCATTTGGGAAGGTAGCGTGTATGGAAACAGGTGAGTCTATTGGTTATGGTGTGGATTTCAGCACCATCCTGGCTTACTAGATAGCTTGCTTTCTACCCCCACCAAGATCCAGGCACCTTCACAACTCACCCTAGCACTATTATTGATGCATGTCGCTTTGCAACCTGAGTCATATATGGATACATTCTTCTGTACTGTGTATCTGAACAGACAGACAGACAGACACACACACACACACACACACACACACACACACACACACACACACCACCCCACACTTCTCCCAATGTACCTTGTGCATGATTGACACTAGTGAAGTTTGTTTGCACTGGAGAGGACTCCCATTCCAGACAAGGTAATTTCATACTTTGTCATTTCCCCTCCTGGAAATGCCTCAAAATTCCTCTAACTCAGCTTGTTCCCGTCTCCACCCCCACCCCAAAAACTTACCACCCTGCTCTACTGCTTCACAGGACTCATGTGAAGCCAGCACAAGCCATGGTGTGCACTTTGCCCCAGGGCATCTGATCATGTGCAAGCTGAGGCCCTCCAGCTGTGCTTTGGGTGGAAGGAAGGTGAAGTCTGGCGTGTTTGACAGTTGAATTCAGAGATGGAGCTGGTCCCAAGCATGATCATGGATAAGAACCTGTTGATGGAAAGACAATGGATACCCCTGGTCTGGCAGTGAGGGTGTTCCTTTGGATGATTCATGGTCTCCTGCCACATTCCCACCTCCTAAGAAAGCTCGGAGATATTTGAAGAGATTTAAGGGTTCAGATTCATACCCCTCCTCAGACTACTCTCCAGAACACCACCAAGAGACTATTTTCAGTAGTGTCTCATGCAAAGAGGAAAGCTGTTTTCTTTCTCACACCCTGTAGGGACATTGCTGTTGCTGAAGCTTTGTGTCTCCAGGCAGCAGTCTAGGAAAGACTGGTGCCTTTGCTGGATGACCCTGGATGACCCTATGCTGGGGCTACTAAAGAGACTCCTGGGACTGCACTCATCAAGGGACAAAGCCTGAGTCCAGCTTTACCTGTGTGGTGCTTAGGGCAGGAGATGCCACTCAAGACCTAACACACTGAACAGAGAGGGACACAAAGGTGATGCTCCCTTGCTCAGGCTTTGGGGAAGGCATGATTGGTTTCAGGGTAATGGACAACTGAACACTTAATAATTTTACCAGAATGCCTTGTTTTCATGTTTCCTAGATTGAAGAGGCTCCTTTTGATTGACAGAGAAGTTGGACCAGAGCCAGAGACTTACAAACAGATGGACTTAGAGGAAGAAGAGAAAATGTCTGCTGATCCAGGTAGCACTCAAGCCTTTTACTAACCCTTTGTTGTGGGGGAACAGTGTCTGAGAAGGCTTTCCTCACTGAGGGAGGCCTCTCTGTCCAGGCAGGACCTATGTGAGGGTGAGATGCTGCTCAAGTCTCCTCCATCTACTGTGTGGAGTCAGCTGTTGTTACTGTTCCATTTATCACCTAGGCAGAGACATCACTTCCCCATCAGAAAGATTTCCAGCTGTAAGGGACAGACATACAGAACACTGACAGTCACTTTGGGGGCTTTGTGTACTGGTTCCCCTTTTAGAGAGTCTTATCAACCAATACCTAGAGAACTGAACCATGAAGGCAGCCCCTAAGAAAAGGTCCTAGATATTGAAAGCTGAGTGACTGCTGGTTTTATGTATTGTGCATTCAGGTGAAGAACAGTCACCAAGGATGTGCTCTAGAGAGCTGGGCATAGATTGCTGCAGAAGTGTTACCAAGAATGACATAGGGACCTGGGAAAATATATTTGGCACAAATAAATCTGAATGCAAAGACTATTTTCTTATTATTACAATAAACTACCTTGTATATTTGAACCATGTGCTGTGGTGTCCTGATTTATATCTATATAAATATCCTGATGCTGGAATTAGTTAGCATGTCTTTCTTCTGAATGTTCCATTTCTCCCTGTGGTGAGAGCAGCACTAATTCTCCATGGTGCACTTTGATCTTCATCCTGTGCGTTAGATCTCTGCTCTCTTCCTCCTACTTACTGCCTAGTCTACATCCTAGAAACATCTCTCCATCCTGTTATTATCACTAATGGAGGTTTTTTTTTGTTTTAGGCTCCACATATGCAGTATTTCTCTCCTTTAAGGGTTATTTTTCTTAGCATAATGTCCTTCAAGTTGACCATAAGTCATAGTATCCCTCTCCCCTTTATTTTTCTGAGACAGGTTCTTGCTGTGTAGCCTAGGTTGACCAACAACTCCTGATACTCCTGTCCAGAATCCTGAGTACTGTGGTGGCTTTGTATCTCCTGACTTATAAGGCTTAATTACATTCTTCAACAGACATGTGAATGTAGGATAGACACATTGTTAGAGTATTAAGTTTTGATTCATTTGGAAATACCTCCAATTTTCTGTGCAGTCTTATCTCAGTGTCATCAAAAATATCCTTATAATTGGGTGTGGAAATACTCACAAGGTCCCAGACTATCAAAAGCCTTCAAGGTCCTTGCCTCAAAAGTCTTCATTCAGGGTTCAAAAAGAGATGCCACAATAAGCGTAATGTCTACATCTGAGGGCTATAGACAAATAATCTCTTCACACCACATTCTTTCTATTCATGTGCTCTTTATTGTTCTGTTTCCACTCTAGTAATCCTATCTTGTTTCTAATTTCTCCATGTTTTTTCTTCTTTTTTTGTCTTCATTTTACTACACACCTGTTATTCCTACATTCTTATCCTTCTGCATTTCTAATGATTTCTGCCAGCTTCCCCCCTACCTCTTTAGTCTCCTCCTCCCAAATCTCTCTTTCCTAGTAATATAGAGGGAACATAAAGAGTTGCATCTCTCAGATTGGCCTATGTGTACATCTGTGGGGCATAGTTTAGATTAATGTTATGGGAAGGACCGACCTTTCTGGGCAGTATCTCCCCTAGGTAGATGGTCTTGAGTTGTAAAACAAAGATACATAGTCAGACCATGTGTCAGAAATCAATTACTTTGGAGTGATAAATAGACCAACACAAAAATCTCAAGGCATTTTCTAAATTAGTGATTTAGGGAGGATCACAGACCGTTGTTGGTGGTGCTATCTCTGGGCTGGTGGTTCTAGGTTTTATAAGAAAGCAGGCTGAGCAAGTCATGGAAAAAAAGCCAGTAAACAGCCTCCCTCCATGGCCTCTTCATCAGCGCTTGGCTCAAGATTCTTGGCCTGTTTGAGTTTCTTCCCTGAACAGTGATAGTGATATAGAAGTGTGAGCCAAACAAATCCTTTCCTACGTCACTTGCTTTTTGGTCATAGTGTTTTATTGTAGGAATAAAAGGCATAACTAAAACATGATCCTATCTATCACCCACATCCATGGGAAGGATACTTTCACTCTCTGTGGGATTCTGGACTCACAGTACTTTCTTCATCATTTCAAATAGGTCAACCCACTGGGACCCTGGAGTTCTGGTGAGAAAGATAATGGGGAAAGCTAGAGAGGTGGCTCAGCAGTTAAGAGCACTTGTCTAGTCTTTTGAGGACCTACGTTTAGTGGTCCCAATGGCCTGTACTTCTAGCTCCAAGGGAGTCAAGACTTTTGTCTGTCCTTCATGGGCACCCATGGGCATACATTTGCACATTCTCATACATAGACACACACACATACATAAATTAAATAAATGAAGTTAAAAGGTTACAGAGGGTCTTTGGGAATCTATGGTGGAGTTCTCTTTGTCTCAGTCCCATTAGTGCTAATAAAACACTGCTACCATCCTTTTTCTTTCCTATCAAAGTTTAGAAAAGGTAACTGTGTAGCTTAGTGGTATGATAATTGTAAAAGCCAAAAAGTTACTAGAGAATATTAAGGACAGTTTGAAAAGTCCATTGCAGTATCATATATGTTCACTACCTAACTAGTATACATAACAAATGAAGTATAATCATTATCCTCATTATTATCTTACGTGAAGGAGAAGGTCCTTGTTATGGGTTGGATATGAAATATCAAGATATCAAGGACAAGCTCATGTGTTTGACTATTAGGTTCCTGACAGAAGTTGCTCTTTTTAGAAATTGTGGAATCCTCCGGTGGTGTGGCCCAGATACACAAACAAGCTCAATGGGGGCATAAGTGGTGTTATGCAATTTTTTCCTGGGGAAACACAGCAAATGTCTACCCACCTCAGATAGGGAACTAGTGATAGACCAAAGTAACAAGACTACCGAGGTCCATTATGATAAACCAGTGTGTTTATTAGATTTATTTACAAGAAAATGGGGCTACTTGCAAGAGCATGAGTGACTCATAAGCATCTACAACACTGAAATGTCCATGCTTTATAGGTGATAATTCACAAGAGCCACAAATCTGAAGCTCTCTACAGGGCTTGCAAACAGCTCCACATGTAGGAGAATCTCTACCCAGCAATTGTTTCTTATATCCATAACCCTGGGGAAGGGTCTTGTGAATCTTTTTTGGACTCAGAAACTTCCTCAGATTTGTGAGTTGTTTATTTCTTGAGTTTAGTGAGCCTCCCACCTCCCTCCTAGAGGGAACATTTAAATTCTGGGAAAAACAAAAATCAAACAATTGGTATACAATATTTTACCCATTCCTCTGGCTCTTACAGTCTTCCCGTCCCCTCTTCCGCAATATTCCCTGAGCCTTGAAGAGGGTGATGTGTGCCTCTGATTTAGTATTCGGTCATTATGCCACAAAATTCACAGCATCTTCATTAGTAGTTATGAATGTCTGTTGCATACCATCATTTCCAAAAAAGGAAGTTTCCTTCTGTGATCAATTGCAGCTGACAGCAACAGTGATCTATGGGTGTAAGGAAGTACAAGTGCTTAGAAGACATTCTGTCAGACTTATCACATCCACTTAACAAAACAATAACAGTAGCTTCCCTACTGAGGTTTTAACTTTCCAGTCACAGGTTTCTGTTCTGGCTTACAGTACCAGACATGAATTCCTTCTGGTTGAGCAAGTCTTAAATCTAATCAGAAAGCTGTGGTTGTATCCACAATAGTCATGCCAATATTGTGCCAGTAGGCAGATACTGATATTATAGCATACAGGGTCCATAAATGAAAGGTTGGGTGACACTTCTCCCCAAAGCACCTTTCAACACTATGAAGGCCAGCCCAAATGGAGGGAACTTCCAGGTCAGTCTCAGCCTTGTTTCTCCATGACTTGCAACCAAAGTATATCAAGAACAGGGCCTTATCAACTAGTTCTGTCATATAACCAATAACAGTCCCAGAATCCTTTATAATATGTGTGCCACAGGAACCTCCCTGGTCAACAACTCATAATGAGGTAGCCTATCCCTAGCACTTCAAGTGCCATTTTTGACCTATGAAATATACCTCTTGTACTTAAACCATTTAGCTGCTGTTTTACTAACCCATTCTTTCCTTCAGTTATCCCAGCCCTAGAAGTATCATAAAGTTGGTGGGGGTATCATTCTTCATCCCATTTCCATACATCAGTTTTTAAGAAATGACTATCTCTGTCACCATCATTTCTCTGTGGATATGCATGCCTAACCCTGAGTTGGGTGAGACAGTGATGTGGCTTCACCTGTTGTTTGCTTGTATAAATATGTGTGAAATAAACCTGTGGTGGTATCCATACAGGTGAGGGTATATTTGCATCCCTCACTGACAAGCACAGGCCATATATGGGCTATTTACCACTTACTTACTGAGCAAACTTACATATGCGTGTACCTCATCATAACATACATGTGCTGAGCCCACAACTGGGAAGAGGCTTCATATGACTGAATAGTGCACAGTATTATTATGATACTTTATAGAAATGCCAATAGCTTTAGCTGTTTTTTGATTCCATGTTGGTTCCCCTTTTGATCAGACTTTACACAAACCCAATGAGCAGCCTTTAGTGGCACCTGAGAGCAAGTGGCCTGTATTTTGGTAAGCACATCTGATTCCTGATTTTCAGGTCTCAGTAGGCTGTGAAGCTGATCCATAGAAAACTACCAGACGTTCTGATTCCTCTTGAACTCTATTATATGTTTCTTGTCACATCTGTTGTTCTCATTGTAACTGAGCCAGTATTTGCCAGTTTTCATTTTCCTGTTGGACCACCCGTAAATTGAGGCCTCCAAATACAGCTCAACTGTCAGAACAGATTGACAGAGGTCATGTCTCATGAGTTACTACTAAACATACTGGGTTTTTTTTGTTTTTGTTTTGGTTTTTCCAAGACAGGGTTTCTCTGTGTTGTTTTGGAGCCTATCCTGGAACCCGCTCTGTAGACCAGGCTGGTCTCGAACTCACAGAGATCTGCCTGCCTCTGCCTCCCGAGTGCTGGGATTAAAGGCATGTGCCACCACTGGCTACATTTTCCTTCTTTGTACAGCCACATGATGCTTATGTTCATTTGTATGTTCCTATTGATGCTTCCACTCATATCATACATGTACCAGGTATTCACAGGTATGGGTGATGCCCCTTCTAGTGCATTATCTGCCATAGCTGTTGGTTCAGTTATTTGGAGGTGGCTTAGAAACTAGAATGGATGCTGATGCTAGGGCAGCCTACAGGGTAACAGGGCTTCCAGAAACCATACCACATTATTGTAAACATGCAGATTACCATTGTAGGGTTTGATTCTGTGCCATCATGGAAAGAGGCTTTGCCAAAAGGCCTTCACTACAATTATTGTTTAAAAATAATTATTTTACGTACATGAGTGACCTATCTTTGTGCACACCAGAAGAGGGAATCAGGTTACACGTGGTTGTGAGCCACCGTGTGGTTTCTGGGAATTGAACTTGGGACCTCTGGAAGAGGACCCAGTGCTCTTAAACCGCTGAGCTACTTCTCTATCCTCCTTCACTACAATTCTTAATTGGATAAACTTGTCTTTATGGTTGCTGAGATGGAGTCATTGATGGATTCCATCTGTTGTAATATCTTATATGCTGCTAGCAATGGCCATCTAACACTAAACTGAGTTTCTGTCCCTTCCCATGTCTGAGGACAAAACCCTATTGGAATCCTTTGCTCAACTTATTTTTTCCATAGCCCCCAAAAGTTCTAGTGCCTTCTAACAGGAAGAGATACTGTGACAATAGATCAAACAGTTGGTTAACCTATGTTACGGAGATCTTAGCCAGTACAAAAGCCTTTTGAGTCTCTTTATCCCAATCCCACATTGTTTTAGTATATTTGATCACACTGTGAACCCCAAGATTGCATTATTTACTGAAAAAAAAACTGTTTCTTGTTGTGGTGTGGCTCAACCCTAGCACACACCTTTAATCCAGGAGCTTTCTCCATACTGTAAACAGGATTGAATAAGGTCAATTATAGGTCAAGAGGAAAAACAAGAAACCAACTGACAGGGAAAAAACCATAGACAGTAAGAGGGAGTCAGGTGGATGGATAGAGAAACTCACAGGAAGTAGAAAGGAGGGACATTGAGTTTGAGGATTTTTGTTTGAGATGGTAAATGAGAAAAGTCTTTTATCTGGGATTATGGCAGCAGAGGAAGGTCAGCCCCATGCTTGTTCTGCCTCTCTGAGCTAGCAGGTTTTCACCCCAGCATCTGACTCCCAGGTCTTTTTATTGGTAAAAGTGAATGCTTGAGATTTAGTAAAAAACAATACTACATAGCATCCTATTTATCAAATTATTCAGAGGATGGGCAACTTGGGTAAAGTAGCATGTGAAAATCCCTCAGTTCTCTTAAATTTACAGGCACAGGCTTGCATACAATATTTCCAATAACTGTCAGGTAATGTGTGTACCGACGGAGCACAATGTTCCCAAGAATTTTATAGTTGTACATTTTATGTGCACTGAGCTCTTTTTGCTGTTTCTTTAGGCACATTTACAGCTTTTTAGGTGCTGTTTTAAACCTGTAAAACATTCCCAGGTTGGACTTAAGGTCATCAGTGTGTGTGATGGGTATGTGAGGTGTGCACACGCCATGTTGTGCATGTAAAATCAGAGGACAATTTTATGGAGTTGGTTCTCTCCTTCCACCTTTATGTGGATTTTGGGGATTGAACTAAAGATTGCCAGGTTTCATTATAAACACTTTTGCCCACTCAACCAAATCACAAGTCCCAGATTGCCAATAGTTTTGTTCAGTGTGTGGTACTTTCAGGAACTACATTGCTCTGAACCTTCCGTTGCTCTCAGGACATCTCTGAACTCACACAGTGTACTCTACTCATCAGGCAGGCATGCACTCCACACCACACAGCAGACTTCCATACTTGGACTCCCCTTAGGGACATTCACTCTTCAGGAGACTCTCAGTCACATGTCTCACCACCCACCACAAGGCTCACGCAACTGCTGACAGAGAGGCACTATCACATACTACATGGAGAAGGGAAGTCACACCACAGTTCCTTCTGAGGGTGCTCCATCCTCAGACTTTTCAGCCTTAGCTTCATGCCTTACTAACCAGGACCAGTAAGTAACTTCTCAATTTCATCTATACTCTGTTATATTCCTGCTTGGGTGCCAAGCGTGTTGCATGACTTTTCCTGGGAAGCCTGGTAAGGTATGATGAAATGTCTACCCATCACATACAGGGTACTGACAACAGATCAAACTAATGATTCTGCCAAAATGGTGAATCAATGAGGTTATTGACATTACTTGGAACATGGGTGATAACAGGAGACAACAATTTTGCCCCCAGATACTAGTCTTACAAACATAAGCAAATACACCTGGCTTTTTAACCAGAATACTGGGGATTTAAGCTCAGGTCTCTATGCTTGCTTAGTAGGCACCTCATTGACTGAGTCATCTCCCCAGGCCAATACTAAGTACTCTTAAGGATTTTCTCCCATATGTTCATCAAGCATGCAATCTTATTTTTGATCATTATTGTGTCTTTATTCAGTTTTACTATCAGGGCAATCCTGGTCTCACATGTTGAGTCTGTAAGTCCCTGCCTTTTCTATACTATGGAGAGTCTGAGATCCACTAATGTGAACTATTCCAAGCACTGCTGAAGCCCATCACTGGTTCTGTCTGAGCTTTCGCTTTATTTTTTTGTGAGATTTTTGTTTTTTATTATTTCAATCTTGTTTGCTGTCACTTATATGTTTATGTATTCCATATCTTTAGGTTTAATTGTGGAATGACATATATGTCTACAAAGTTATCCATCTCTAAAAACTTCCAGACAGTGGAGTATAAATTTCCAATATTCCTCAGTGATCTCTAGACTTTACTGACACCTATCTATCACCTTCTTCTGTGTTCAAGTCTATTAAACTTAAGTAATGTTTTCTCTTGTTTTTTAAAAATTATTTTTGCTACAAGTGTGTCAGTATTACTTATCATTTTATTAACAAACTCCTTGTTCCACTGATCATTATGTTCTTGTGAATGTCATTTCATTACTTTTCAGTTCTGATCCTTATTACTTCTATCTACTGTCTGTGGGTTTGATTTGTCCTTGTTTTTATATGACCATCAAATAAAATACATCATTGTGTTATTTGAGACATCTACGATGTTTTTTACTGTAAGACTTTATAGATATAAACTCTCCTAGATCTGAGTTTAATATTCTTTATCTGCCTTCTTTAGTTGGTGCTGCTACCGAATATTTCTACCAAGGGGAGGGGTTTTAATGGAGGAGGACCTCAAAGTCAGCTGCTCAAATGAGCACATCCTTAAAAGCATTATCACTGTCATCATGACACTTTTGGTCAAGGTGCTTTTGAAGGGGTGAGACTGACCTGGTCCCTCCTCACAGAGACATAGGTGGCATTGTGTTGGAACATGGTCAAAGGAATGACCCATGGCAAACAATGCCTT